TGGGGGGCGGTGGGACCGCCGCGGGATGGAGCGAGCCCCGAGGGGCGGTGGAATTTGGGGGGCGGTGGGACCCCCGAGGGATGTGACGAGCCCCTGAGGGGCGGTGGAATTTGGGGGGCGGTGGAATCTGGGGGGCGGTGGGACCCCCGAGGGATGTGACGAGCCCCTGAGGGGCGGAGGGGGCGCGGCCCCACGTGACGCCCGCGCCCGGGCCGCGGCTCGCGCCGGAGCCGCTCGCGCCGGAGCCCGCGCGCAGTGCGGGCCATGCGGGCGGGCGCGCGGCGGCGCGCGGCGCTGGTGCTGCTGGCGGCGCTCGCGGCCTGGGGAGCGCGGGCGCAGCGCCCCGGGGACCCCGCGGGTACGGGGGCACCGGGAGGGCACCGGGAGGGCACCGGGGTCCGCTCGAGCGCTGCCAGCCCGTCCCGCGGGCGCCTCTGCCCCGCCGCAGGTGTGCGGCGCTCTGGTGGCGTCGCTGCAGCGGTCCTCGCCGTGCTAAAGAGAGAAATCCACCGGAGCGCGAATCCGCAGACGTCCCGGGGCCTGAGGAATGGGAAGATGTCAGGATGTGTAACACTTTTGCACTCAATTTTCAGAAAACGGGACGCGTTGCGTCCTCTCGTCTTCATCGGAGTTTCCTGAAGGATTTTTCACACCGCAGGAGAGGAAGGATGGAGGAATTGTTATCTACTTCATAATTATACTGTACATGTTTTTGGCCGTGTCCATTGTGTGCGATGATTACTTCCTACCTTCCCTAGAGATCATCAGTGAATGTAAGTCACATCCTGATCTTTTTCCTGTAAAACTTAGAAGCTTGGCATAAAACTTTCTCTTTTAAAAAGCTTCAAAGTTAGAGTGCTCTGAAAGAAAACTGAACAAGTTTCACTTTCCATGCACAGATGTGTCCATACAATATTTAATTTGATACACAGGATCAATATTTTACTGAAAAAACCTAGTGATTACACTGCACATGTATTCATTTAATATTTGCTTTCTTTCTGCCTGGAGGAAAATCTTAAGATTCCTCAGTATTGACTAAACTGACAATTTGAGTTGCACAGTACTGTGTCCAGGTAACTACTAGTAAAAGAAAAAAATTAGGAGGGATGGTGATGTGTGAAACCAAAACTCTTCCTAGGGTTTGTTTTTCTTTAAAAGTAGTGATGAGCTACTGCTAACATATTAAAGGTATGACACAGGAGGGACAGGAATTCTATGGTTACCACTGTTCTAAGAAATCTAATCAATCTGCAACAATTCCCCTGGCTTCAGCAGACCACTGAAGTAAAGAGATGGTCTTGGCAGGGAGTTCAAATTTTTGCTGTCAAGAATTAACAAAATTCCCTAGGGAAACTCATCCCTGAAATGGAAAACCTCCTCCAAATCAGAACACTTACAGCAAATGTAAGCTGATACACTGCCATAAGAGCTGGTGTTTTGTTTGTTGATGACAAATAAGCATTTGTCAGACATTTGCCTTGGTCAGTCATATGTCCCTGTACTTGGTGTGCAGGACTCAATCCACAGAGTGAGTTACATTCCAGAAAGTCAATTTGCGAGAACAAAAATTTCATTTCTCATAAGCAACACATAGGCTCTTATACTGTCCATACAAAATGAAAATTTGATTTCAAGATCACAGCACTGGTTTGAATTTAACTAATGTTTCCGGTATGTGAAGACACAGTAGTACAGATTTCCCTGGAAGATAGAGAGACTTGATATGGATCATATAACAATATCACACTACAGTCCGTGGAATTTCCCCACAATTATTCCAATAGGAAATACAGTTAAATTCTACATACAAATGCTGATTTTACAAGATATATAGAAATAAACTAGCCCAATAGATGAGGCTAATTTTCAATATATTACTTTATGAATCTCATATACATTGACTGTATGAAAATAAACTTTAATCTACTAAATTGCAGTAGTAGCTAACATTATTTACTAGTCTAGTGAGAGTAAAGGGTATAAGCTACTGAGGTATCAATTTTTTAAAGCAATTTTTTTTGTTTTGTCCCCAGGCCTTGGCCTCTCACAGGATGTAGCTGGAGCAACTTTTATGGCTGCTGGAAGCTCTGCTCCAGAGCTTGTCACTGCTTTTCTAGGTGAGATGTGTTTTGACTCCTTATAACTTAGATTTTTTTTTCCTTGCATGCCAAACTGAAACATACCAGAGAATCATTTTCCTTACAGGAGCTTTTGTGACAAAGGGAGATATCGGTGTCAGCACCATCCTTGGATCAGCAATATATAATCTTCTTGGTATTTCTGCAGCTTGTGGGCTGTTTTCCAGTGTGGTATGTATCAGCTTTGCTAATTCTGCTCCTAAGAGTCAAATGGTTATTCAACAAAAGCCAAGAGAGAGACTTACTATGACAACTGCCAAGTTTATTATTTAGTAGCAAAACCAGCATGTAATCAGTTTTAAGATAAGTTGCTATGAAAGTTTTTAAAAACACTAACCTGTTAAATATCATACTTAAGTCATTCCTAAGAATCTTTAATTTTTACATAATATAGAAACGACATATTGATGCAGCATTTACAGCACTTAGTGAAAGTATTACAGCGAGGTTTAAGAAAAGTACATGACTGATCTGCAGGTTTCGAGGCTATCCTGTTGGCCGCTGTTCAGAGACTGTCTGGCATACACCATCAGTGCAGCAGCAGTCCTTGCGATGATATCTGACAACAGAATTTACTGGTAAGAGCACAAGTAGTGTTGAATTCTTGTTGACTGGAGATTTGTGAGACAGAGTTTTGAAAAACAAATTAAAATCCCCAAGCCCCAAACTTCAAGTAGCCTGAACTGCTGTTCACTAACAGAAAACATCCTGTTGGCTTTAAAAAACTTAAAAAGTCATAATGCTTGTAAAGATTACCTAAACATTCAAACTCTGCATATTTATGAAATTCGACCTGCATAGGTTTGTCTGTACAGACTTCACAAAAACAACTGTTCTGACACAGCCATTAGTGTTCAGCATTTACTCCTTTTGAGCTTTTCCTTTCATAGCAGCATTGTTCAGAAAAACATTTGTCTGCCAGAAGGAGATAATGAGTTTCTGACGTTTTAACTCCTCCATCAACACCAAAACTCCTGTTACCTTAACCAGACAGTCAGGTCCAGCATTAAGTCCCTTGAAGTTTATAATTTAAGCATCACATGAAGACTCAATTTTGCAATATCAGGAAAATGTTCAATCAGTAAGATCCCCTGAAAAAACATGCAGCTATACAATATACAAACAAGATTCTGCAGAGGAGGCGAGTTAATCAAACTGCTGAAAGACATGGGGACACTCAAAAACGTCCATGACATTAGCCATACATTGCAAATAGATGCTTTTGTGTGTTCTCCTTTTGCTATTCATGCAAATTTTCTCTCTCTCTTCTTATGCCAACAATTGAGTTCTTTTATACTACATGTTATATAAAACTTGTTTTTCATTCTAGGTATGAAAGTGCATCCCTATTATTGATATATGGGTGTTATATTCTAGTACTGTGTTTTGACATTAAAATCAACCAATACCTCATGAAGAAGTTCAGTCCCTGCTGTACGTGTTTGACAAAAGCTATGGAAGAGAACGCGGAGCAGCAGCCTCTGGTTGGATGGAGGGACGAGAGTGGACCTCTAATTCGTCAACAGTCAAGAACAGACAGCGGAATTTTTCAAGATGAGCTGGACTACTCTCAACTTTCAACAAGCTTACACGGGCTTGATGAAATCTCTGAAGGTACAGGTATTATTACAGCTGTCTCTAGCACTCCACATGCCTGTCTGATCAAGAGCAGATTCTCAGATAGTATTAAGATTTTGCTCACAAAAATATCCAGCCTAGTATTTCAGTAGATCATTATTCCAACTTGGAATATAACACTGAGCAAAATCAGGGTGATGCTTTTCATATGAAGTTAATTGCTAGAGGAATGCAAGGACAGTTGCTCATTTGTGTCATAGCAGAACTTTTGTCTTTGTTGTGTGTATTTGAGACTTCTCAGCAACACTGCTTGTAAAATCCACTATCACCTGAAAGCCACACAGGTACTGTAGCAGTACACACTGTTTCCTTATGACAGTGGCAGGTTCATAGCCCAAAATATGCATAATATCAAAAGTAAAGGAATAGCTGTGATGTGGTCACAGGTCATTTTTCCTCTTAGGCAAAAAACAGCAGTTGGTACTTACTCTTGGTAAATGCTATGAGCAAACCCTTATAAAGAAATTCATTTTTCATCCACCTTAGTTCTTCCCAGTGATGTAATGAGAAACATGTTAATCACAGCATAATAGGTTGGAAAGGGATCTCAAGTATCATCTGGTCCAACCTTTCCTGGCAAAGGCATGGTCTCAGATGGGCCAGCTCCAGTTAAGGTGAATCTTAGAATTGTCCAACATTGGGGAATCACCACTTCCTGGGGAGATTATTTTACTGGTGATTATTATTGTGAAGAAATGTTTTTCTCGTGTACAAGCAGAATCTCCCCAGAAGTAACTTTATTTCAGAATTTTGTCCAGGGAGATGTAGGTACTACAGCTGAAATTTGAGGAAGAAGTATTTTTCACCTTTTTTCATATTCTCACGAGGACAGTTATATACTGTATGCTATGGATTCAAATGTAATGCTACAATTCAAAAGTTACTTTTTCTTCGACAGATCATCCAAATGTCTTCACCATGCCTGAAGCAGATATGAAGAGAATTTTGTGGGTGTTATCCCTTCCTATTATCACACTACTCTATTTAACTATACCAGATTGCAGAAGACCGTTTTGGAGGAACTGGTTCATGGTGACATTTTTAATTTCAGCAGTATGGATTTCTGCAATAACTTATGTTCTTGTATGGATGGTAACAATAGCAGGTAAGTACCTAAAGTGGTGTTGCTATACCAGTCAAGAATCACTGAAAAATTCTGTGGTTTCCCTTTAACAGACTGCACTGTAAAAAAAAACACAACAGAAACTTATGTTTGACTGCTTAGTTTGCCACCCTCTCCTATTCAATGATGGAACATTATAGAGTTTAGCTGCTTCCCACTGCTTACCATTACATGAATGAGAACTCGATGCAGCTACAAAAAACCCTATTTTTAAAAACAGAGTTTCATTAAACTGCTTCATTAAGCAAACCAATTAGACACACAGCAATCAACTTGTCATGCTGAAGGCTGACAAACATGAAATCCCCTAAGACTGGAACTATAGGTCAAAGCTTTTGGGAAAAAATCTGTAATTTTTATACCTGTGTTTTTCACAAAAGTTATAGTAAGAGATCTGGCATTAAATTAACTACCAAAAAAGGTCTCAAATGTGCTTATTAAATATTCTTGGAGTGTGTATATGTGGATCTCTTACAAATCTGCATCCTAAAGCGGGGCAGTACAAGGATTGCTTTTAAGCGAGAGAAGGGGTATAAACTTGTATGTAAAAACCATCTCCTGAAAGTACTTTGAGGTACTGAAGGTCTCCTCATTTCATTGTTTCTTTCTCCAGTCAGCTTGAAAGACATCCAGTTTTTATATTTAAGAACAAGTAGAAAACAAAACTAAAACTCTACAGAAATTTTTCAAATTTTCACATTATAGCTCACTAATCCTACTCAAGCATTCTACTAGTTCAGTTATGAAAAACTCCTTGTTCAGTGCAGAAGCAGACCTACACATTCAGTAAACCTTTGAGAAATTACTAGTAGATCGCTGGACACTGTAACCCACCATGTTAACCCCTTGATTAAATAATTTTTCACTTGTACCCAGAGAACAAGGGTTCACTGTCTGGATGCTAGAAGCCTTTGAAATAGGATTCAAGTCAACATTATTGCTGTTGTACAAGTATTAATTCATATGAAAGTAGATATGGTAGAGATTCAGAGAGTGTATTATTCACTTTCAAGAGTCATCACAGGTAGTACTGGGGTCTTTGGCCCACTACTTCTAGGTAAATTATATTCTATTTACATGTTAAAACACTACAAGTTAAACACACAATATATTCAAGTCCAGGCTCTCATGAAGGTTGAGAACTCAAAGGTTCTATCATTGCATAATCAGCCTATCAGCATGTCACAAAGTATCATAGCTGGGCACTAAACTGGGATGGTCAAGAAGAAACCTAAACTAGTACCTCTTTCTGTTGCTGGCAAAGAAAATTCGACTACTTATAGCAACACATTGCTACTAATACACAAAATTAACAAAAGCCTAGAAAAATTAGACTTTTCTGTCTTAATGGTCAGTTGCCAGAAAATAAACCACTACACATTAAATAAAAGATAAATCTATCTAATAAAATGAAAAAAATAGCTTCTCCTGAGTTTATATTCTGTCTCATAACCTTCAGAGGGCTAGAAACTAATGTTGGGTACATAAGGCTGGTTCATTCATATTTCACCTTGGTTTGAACCATTATTTTCCAGCCTGAATGGTTTATAAAAGCTGTTTTGTTGGTCCCTCATCCTATAAACCTATTAGAAGCGATGGAAGGATAAAGAGAGTACAAATTCTGCAACAGAATCATGTTAGTTCCTCTGAAATCAACAGTTTCAAACATGAATTTACAGGGCTGCCCTAGACTAAGCTGGTAATAGACAAGCATAGGCAATAAGACTGACCTAGCTTAGTGTACTACCTCTTATTTAAATAAAACTTATCTTACTAAATGTGTCAAAATATTTCATGTAAGAACTCAGATTTCAACAATAAAAAATATTAAGATACTTTTTACTGAACAAAAATTTTTAAGAAAATTTAATTACTTTGTAGCTTGACTAGAGGTATCAAATACTTCAGCATATTGATGCTTCTGAATGGTACAAATGCTAGAACAGTTTTGAAGAATCCCTGTATTTTAAGTTAGAAATTAATATGGTTACAGGACATTTAGGGCTAAGAAAAACAGAAATTAGGGAAAAACAAACTGCCCTTCTAGTAAGAGTTTAAAACTTTTAATTTAAATTACTATTTCCCTTAAGGAACTCACACTTCTAAGGGGTTACTTGTACTTACAAGTCATATAAAAATTATGCACTTCGATTCTCGCAAATCACTTTCTAATTGGAGTGAAATGGTAAAGGCATGTAAGTTGAGACAGTATTCTCATAATATCTTAATGACTGTCCTCCCCAAGCAAACTCCTGTGCTTTTTCCCCACCCCCTGAGGGGACTAAAACAGTAAGTTATTGCTTCATGAGACTTTTGAACACTAACAAGGAGATGCCCAAAACTGTAAGACTATAGTATTTTCAAGAAATTGAGGGGAGGGAAAAAAAAAGGAGTAGTAATTTGTCAGATATTTAAACTTCTACTTTATCTGCAAGAAAAAAAATCATAATTGCTACTGTCTTGGCCACTGCAGACTTGAAGAACAAGGAAAGGATATTTGTTGTTACTCTTTGTTTTTACTGCTTTGTGGTTCAGTCACCTCACATGTAGCTGATACATTCCATATGAAATTACAGTATGATTACTGATTCCTTCTCCAGCAAAGTGCAAAGCACTTTCAGTGGATGAGCCCTAACTAAAACCACACTTGTATTTTCTACCCTTATTTCTCAACTGCAGGGGAAACGCTGGGAATCCCAGAGTCAGTCATGGGTCTCACATTACTTGCAGCAGGAACAAGTGTACCAGACACAGTTGCAAGTGTGCTGGTGGCTCGAAAAGGTAAAGATTTTAGTATTTAGGCTCATGCCAATGGATGTGTTTAAAAGGTACTACAAAAAGAATTCTAGTCACCATTTTGGTAAATTCAAAAAGTAACCTCAAAACCCGTGCTCCAGACTCTAAAGCTTAAGTCTACTAAAAATAATAAATAGCTTACCTGAAAAAGCTGTGGCTCAGACATCTAAAAACTTCTCAGAGTATCTCAGAGAAGTATTCTAGATTGGTTTATTTGTTGTTGATTACATATTACAGTTTTACTGTGGAACACAACTGTAAGTGTGTGTATTTTAAACATAACTGGACTTTATAATAGCCTGTCTAGCTTGATTTTAAGTGCAACTGTGCAGATGCTGGTGATTTAGGGAGACTTTTTATAGTTGTGGTACCCATGTTCTGTAGAATCGTGACTATGTTCTTCCAATGCAAAATCTGTGAGAAACTGAGGGCTGGCAGTCTGTTCCTCCAAAACAGTTTGGCAATTTCATGCAATACAATTAAGCCAACTTATTTGTATTTCTTCTTTTACAGGTAATGGAGATATGGCTATGTCTAACATTGTAGGATCCAATGTATTTGATATGCTCTGTTTGGGAATACCCTGGTTTATAAAAACTGCCTTCATAAATACATCAGGACCCATAGAAGTGAACAGCAATGGTCTGACATACACAGCCATTTCTCTTATCTGCTCTGTTGGTTTTATTTTTCTGGCAGTTCACCTGAATGGCTGGAAAATAGATAAAAAATTGGGAACAATTTGTCTTGTCCTGTACTTAGTATTTACTGTATTATCAATTTTATATGAACTTGGCATCATAGGAAACAATCCTACAAGGGTCTGTGGTAACTAGTTTTAATCAGTGATTATGCTGATGAAAAAAATAAAAGCAGAAGAAAAAGATCAGTTTCTTCATTTAGTCAAAATAAAATTTAAAAAACCAACTCCAAACTCCCATTGGGCTCTAAATCTTATATACAGAACTAAGTCATGCCATTAAAGTAATATTAAGTAGAACAAAAATATCACAGCCTAATTGGAGCCCTTTCTTTTAGAGTCAAGAATTACAGTATGACTACAACGCACATATAAAACCAAAATTCTGAAAAAGACATCTACTTCTTACATTACAATGAAACACACATTTGGCAGGAAAAAAAAGATCAGAAAACACTAAATAAATCCCACTATGCAATCTGGAGATTAACAGAGAAAATGGCTTATTTTATTAAAAACAGTATAACCATTCATTTAAACTGAATGACTAGAGACACTTGGCCTAATTTTCCAAAGGCACTGAGCATCCAAAGCATCCCCAGTCTATAGGGACCTGCAGGTGCTCAGTGGCTCTAAAAAAAACAACAAAATCAGGCAAATTGTCTTTAAAAACCAAACATAGTAAGATTCAGTTAACAAGTATCACAGTATATTAAACACTATACTGTTAAAGGCTGGTGGGATTTAAAAGTTCATTTTTACAGCTTTTGTAAGCATACAATATTACTAAAAATGACTTACTAAGACAGAGAAGCTAAACAGACATAGGAATGTTCCTGAACATACAATTTTAAATTATGCATTGCGATCCAAGCGGACATCAATTTCTCTGCCACTGATTTTTATGCCGTTCATTATCCTACAGGCCTTTTCAGCAGATTCTGGTGAGTCAAATCTGACTGTTCCACAGCCCTTTGATTTTCCATTCTCCATTTTTATTTCTGCAAACATTACATGACCTGAATAAATAAGTTAAACAGCAGTTATTTCAAGTCCTCAGCATACTAACAAAGAACTCAGAAGTAATAAAGTATTATTCTAAATTATAATCTAGGTGAACATGAATTTGGCACTTTCAGACTGATGGCACATTCACTCATTCAGGCAAGGTGACATGGGACAAAAGAGCAGGAAAGAATCCAAATCCAGATCCACTTTCTCCAGTCTTTCCTGAAGTATGCCTGTATTTGACCTCAAGTTTGAAACAAAGTGCCCTATGGAAAGGTTTGTGTTTCATACTGACAGAAGCATAAGTATTGCTAGGCATTAACTGAACTGTAGCTTAATCTAGTCCACCATGTTCATCACAAAAATATACCAAGCAATAGTCACAACCAAGCAATTTTGGTAAGAAGCTGCAGAGCAAAATTAAAGCCTTTAAAACAAAAAAGTCACCAGGCTGGGAGTGGTGGAAAAGTAGCATGCATTATCCAATTCCTGCTGAGTTTCCTTGAGGTTGGACACTCAACTCATAAGGAAATATTTTTATAAAGATATACCTCTGAGAATATTCAGTTCCCTGGAGCTAATGAGTTTTTGTTTATGGTATGTTCTAGCACACCCCTCCTGAGCCCCTGAATGTCACTAGGAAGAAAAACTTTTCCCTGAAATACAAAGCCTTTTATTTTTAAATATCATTTAATACTGTCATTTCACTGAAAGAAATCAAACACTGGGAAACAGTCTTTGTATTTCCTTATGATACTGACGTGAACACAATCTGTTGCTTATAATCATTAGAAGCAACTGAACATAATTACTACATATATTAGCTGACAGAGATAATGAAAAAAAAAATTCTGAACTATTTGAAAGTTGTCCAGGAGGTTAAGACTTAAAAAAAAAGAAAGCACCTGTTGTATTATATCCTCCATCTACAAAGAAAACATCAACACCTTGTAATTTTTCATAATTGAACTGCGAGTTCTTATTTACATCAAATCTGTAAACAGCTGTATGATAACTTTTTTAGGTGTCAGTAGTATGTTTTAAATTATTTATCTTTTCTGTCTATCCAAAAGAAGTCATCCTGTAATTCAGTTACAGCTCTCCATTTTGAAAATGTGTTTTCAAAACATATCATGTATTTTGACAACCAAGCTTTATTTTTCACTTATTTCTGTGAAAAGACCAACTTTTATGAATTAGATAAAACCAATTACTGAATATTTGTAGCAAACTTTTATTTCTTAAAATAAAGGGGAACATTACAGCCTGCAAATATGCTAATCAGGATGATCTATATGTGTAAAACCTGTAATGCTGCACTGACAAAAATTACTAACTCTGATTTGATGCAGCACCATTTCTAAAGTAATGCATGATCTGGACAGATCCAGGATCCTGCACATATTTAACTCATAGAAAACACTACATTATATAATTTTACTGGCCAGGGAATATGTCAGAAAAAGAAAAAAATTCAAAGAGTAATTTTATTAAAGGAATAGGTTAAAGTTTATAGCAAGTGAGAACTCAGAGCCAATACAGCCCATACTGCACCTTGGTCTTGTGTTCTGTCATGCCTAAAAATTATTTATATAACTCAAGAAAGCTGGGTGAAACAAGAAAAATTAAGCCAGCCAGACTCCTCTTCAGAGACAAGACAACAGTCTTCCTGTTGTTTTCTAATAAACGCCACAAAACACATGAAGTCTATGGAGATGAACAGGGGTAAGGTTCATATACATACCACATTGACTGAATTTCTCCTTTAGCTTCTGCCAGGTCAAGTCAAAAGGAAGCTAAAATAAAAAAGCATTATTGGTAACAAAATACTACAATGAGAGTAAGAGCAAGCAATCAAAGATACACACAAAATAAGCTTGTACTTTCTATACATTTAATTGCTTACATTTCTCACAAATATCTGGTTGCCTTTAGAGCCTAATCTCTCTCTCATGCCACTTCCCATGGGGCCAGGCACAAATCCTCGATCGATGTCCATGTTCCTGTCCAGGCCTCCACCCATGGCTGGTCCCATTCGATCGAAACCAGAACCCATCCGATCTATTCCCATTCCTCCAGCCATATTGTTCATACCACCCATTCCACCACCTACACAGAGAAAGCAATGGAGGATAAAATAAAATCTTTTAGTAATAAACACACAAGTATTTGGTATCAAACAAAGTTCTTGTGTCAGAAGAACAGCTTTATTAAAAATGCTGTAATATAAACCATAACTTTTATACATGCAGTGCTTTTTAGGAGCATGGCTAGTATTTTATGACCAAGTATTATACAAGATATAGAGTGTCAGTTCTAAAATAGTAAAACCAAACCTGCATCAAGCTATTAGTCACACCATCTAATGTACCAGAATTTTGAACACAAGAATTCAAAGTCTGTCTTGTTTAATTTTAAAAAATATAATACCCTTTACCAAAAAGATCAAATAAATAACTGCAGTAATACTTACAGATAATTTGACCAGATATAATATTGTCTGTTTGGCTTCCTGCATTTATATTCAGCTTAACTTAATGCACCATACCCACACCTAATTATAAAATCTTCTAGAGAAGATTTTTTGCCAAGAACAGAAGTTACTGCAAGTAAAGAGCATGAACTTTATTATGTGTCATGGTTTAAACCCTAATAAAAAGTACATACATGGAATAAAATGTATTAATTTATATAAGTAACTAAGAGCAATAGCATTCAAATACTTTAATATTTCTGGATTCATAATTAAAAATTAATGTACAGTAAAATTATCAAGATCATTCATGAGAGACCCTCTCTTTAAGCCTTAAGTCTTCTAAGACTGGCACTAGCAAGATTTTAGTTTCTCATCTGCTCTAGCCTGAGGAACTCAGAGTTGCTGCAATACAAACTCAGTACTGGAGCTTTGCACAAAATTAAACTGGGGGATAATCTGAAATTCAAGGCTGATTTTTTTTATTTCAATGATGGCAGATTATAAGGTTCAGCTTCACAAAGTTTACTCATAAAACTCTGCCTGCCTTTTTTTCTGAAACACAAGTTTACTTTAATCACTTCTCCCTCCAAACTAGAAGTTGAAACCAATCCAAATCTAAGATTAAGGGAAAGACTTTATTAGCTAGTTTTCCTCTGAACTTTTACCTCAACAAAACAGCTTTGAAAACTGTTAACTTATCACATGCAACAGAGTTCTACTTCCCTCAACAGCGAGACACTATGCTACAGCAAATTCCTCTGACACAAGTGTACACTACATTGTTACATTGCCTATGCATTTATGTTCTATTGAAACAAGTTAACCTACTCATTCCAGATCTTACTGGGCCCATGCTAGGTGCTCCCATTCCTCCTGCAAAAACACCAATCATTGCACCACCTAAACAGAGAAAAATAATGAAGTGACATACACTGAAACCACCAGTTAGTGAAAAAAAAAACAAAGCACACGCTAATAAAGTGCACTGTTCTCAATGTTACCTGGCAATATTTTTCTATAAGGGCACTTTTACGTGTGCCTTTACTATACAAACTAAATAGGAACACCTTGTAAGTAAAGTTAGTTTCTCCTTTTCTACTACAGGATTTAAGCTACTCTGATTTCTTTCTAGCTTTTCTTCCCTCTGACAGCCTGCCAGCAGCACAAACATGGTAAAATTAATTGCGCCACTTCCTACATTGGCAAAAACAACCTCAAAATTCAAGGCTTCATCTTATATGAACTTGATAATATAAAAAAATCAACAATACTGCTGCAAATCAAACATCCTCAATTCCACTCTGATACTATAGCCCAATCAAAGATGCCTTCCTTGATTTCAAGGTTACTAAAAGCAAGGTTACTTCACAGTATTTCTTTTAAGATACCATTAACCTAAATACTGTAACAGGAGTACATCAGAGCCTCCCCTGATCAAACACAGCACTTATTAAAAGTCCCTTCCATTTCCTTCCATTATTTAAGGTTAAGCTGGGAATCTCCAATTTTGGGTCTCAGGATACTATTCAAATGGGCAGATCTGATAGATTGTAAATTGAAGCTTGCTGGATCTACTGAATGAAAGACACCCACATCACTTTCCCACAGTGGTTCATGAATTTTTAAACCAACGTGTTATCAGAAGCCCCAGAAGCCTACTGCTTGCAGAAATATTTATAACTTAAGTGGCCTTGCATTTTCA